AGCGAGGATGACTTGCGTCAGGGCTACGAGGCTGGTGAGGAGACAGATGGAGATGCTGTGTCCTCCGCGCGCTTCAGCGCCCGTTACCTTAGCCAGGGGTCCAGGGTACGGAGTGAAATGACCTATGGCGGTAGCAGCAGTGGAGAGTCATCTGCCTCTAGCATGCCAGCTACACCTACGAAGCTAATCATTGATGATCAGCTGCCTTCGTTGGCACATATCAATAAGAGCATCCCTTCACCGAACGGCGTGCACAAGCGCGCTCCACGTCTTCCGCCGATGCCACTCATTACGCTCACTCTTGATGATGGCCTTGTTCAGCGACCCATCTCTCTCACCAGCGACTCGAGCTCCGACATCGAACATGATCAGCTCGCGGTCGACAGAGCAGAAGTCCTCGCGGAGGCTGTAGCGGCGTCTTTCTATCGCGACGAAATCGACCAATTTACCCGCGAATCGGGCTTCACGCGCGTCGACTTTGTAAGTCTCAATAGGCCCCCTTCCGCTGTGACGCAGACGCGCCTAGCCCTCCGAACGTTTGGGACGGAAGACAGCCTGACGAGACGCATGCTCGACGGCGAACCACCCGTGCTGCAGAGCGACGATGAGGGTGAAGACGAGCAGCGTGCTGGCACAAGCGGATCTGCCCAGAGGGCCGCGTCCTTGCAAAAGCACACCTCGATTCCGACCCATGATTCCAGCAAAGCCACTGTGAGACGCTCACGCGAGTTGTCGGAGGAAGGATATGGATCTGATTCTGCAGAAGGATGCCTCGAGCACGATGATTTTCCCACCTTGTGAGTCGAGATCGACGGTGCAAACGCCTCTGGGCGATCCTGACAGCAATCACTAACCGCATGCACGCTGTGTAGACCTGCCTGGACGCCCATGCGCAGACCTGGGCAGTGAAATCTGCCGACACAGTCTATAGCCTCAATATTTTCTAATATCCAGATTCAGACCTCTACGAACGTCCATCTGCGCACCGCGCATTCCATTAGCTGATAGTTCTTCTACATGCACCTTGCTTGAGGCTCTTCCCGCCCTGTCAATGCCTCTCTCCGATCAACACGTCGCGCGCAGACGCACTGTCCCTCGCTGTAATCCCAGTCCGACCTCGATTCTGCTGAGTCTATTCTCACCTACACACTCGTTTGCTGCTTCCACGCCTCCTTTACACCGAGAAGGTAGTCGCGCGCTCGCCCGCCATGTATCCTGCCATTCAAAACACCATTTCTCCAGCTCTCTGCTTTATGATACATTGATTGCACATCACCATCTGTGTGCCGGAGTGAGTAGGCATTGGCTTAGAAATACCGTCGAGACTACCGGGGTGAGTGGCCGCTTCAGCTACTGCTTGCTTCGGGAGCTTAGCGATGCGTCATCCATCGGTCTCAGCTCTTGCGCACAACTCCTCTTCGTCGCAGCTGTGCCAGTTTACAGACGCGAAGTCGATGCCTATCGCTGCAGCTTGTCCAGGAGTAAGCCAACTCGTGCTCCAAGGTTTGGTTGCCCTTTCCTGTTGACTTTCCCGCCCAAGCTTGATCTCCTCTTCCTGTCCTGCAGTGCTTCTTCCCTGCTCAGTCTTTTGCTCTTCGCCGAGCTCGCATCTGATGTCTTTGATACGCCTCTCTCTTTTTGCTGCTTGCTGACACTGTCTCCTCCTTCGAGATCTGCGCGTCGAAATGTGCTACTGTTGTCCTGTGTAACAGCGTCCCGCGGAGGCTTGGCCTGCTTCAACCGAATGTCCGGCTGTTTCTCTGCTTGCTCGATCAGTCGCTTCGTGTCCTCGTCTTCAGGAGCGAAGCGACCTAGACTTGCAGCAGAGGGCCCTGCTAACGATTGTGACTCGCCATCCACCTTGAGCTCTTGCTCGCGTCGAGTCGTGTCTCGTCCGCCGTGTCGCGCATAGTAAGCAGCCTTGACCTTGGCATTCTCTATCAGCTGCGCTTTTCGTTTCTTGGCTGCACAAGCGGCCGAATAGCGGCGGAGCATCACGTGGTAAGCTCACTTGTCATGAGGAGAGGGAAGTCTGAGTGGGATACAATGGACTGGCTCACCTTTGCCCAGATAGCTGCCGTCTGGAGCGTGTGCTGGACCGACTTTGAACCCGCCTGCACGCCCTCCCGTCTTGCTATCTCTGCCAGGTCCTAGCGGTGCGCTGTTGGCGCCAGACTTGGTCTTGTGCTGGACATATTTGCGCTTGTGCGCATCTGGCGTGTGACGCGCCATTCTCGAGTCCGACTAGAGATGCGGGCTAGGCATGCTTTGCGAGGCTGATGGAAGGCAGAGGCAGATTGGCGAGCCAGCTGCGCGCACGATTGCCCCCATGCACGGCTCGCGCTTTTGCGATCCTGCAAATCTCAAATCAGAATCGTGAACTCATTCAAATTCAAATTCATGGATGCATCATTCAAATTCACGAATTCACGCCTCACGAGTCAAGTGATTTTTTGCACCGCCCCGCAACGGCAGGCACACACCCATGCGCGCGATTCACGTGACTGAGATTTGATCTAAATTGTCCCCGCGGCAACGCCGCACGCGACGCGCAGTCCAAGATCACGAGCTGGGCGATCGACCTCAACCTCGATCACGTCTGTAGTGAGACCATCCGGTGGATGATGCGTACCGTGTGCCGCTGCTTGCAATCTGCCACCACCATCTCAAGCAAGCAGCCCACGCTACACTCACGACTGCGAACGACGTCGAGGGCGACGATTGCCAAGGCACATCGTCGGTCTAAGCGCTACATCCAAGATTGGCGTAACTACCGCCGCTGCCAATGTCTCACGCAGATTCTTCACGCTCCCGCCACTCTGCGGCTGGAAGCTTGCCAAGCAACGCGGGCCGTTCGAGCCATGTAGCAGCGCTCGCCAGGAGTTGGCCTCCCCCGCGACCCGCCTCCAGCACTACCTCGCGTTCCAGCTTTGCTCGACCCATAGCACCAACAGCTCGGGTGCATAGTCGAATGGAAAAGTTCGAAAGCGGAATGGCGCGATCCTCAACATCTGGCAGCAGACCTGGCCCTCCACCATTGCCGCCCAACCGCGCTTCGAGTACCAGTAGGCCAAAATCCCGCAATCTAGTCGCTTCCCCAGCTGCTCCAGTACATCCCTGGTCTCACCGTCCGACTCCGTCTCGGTCATCGGCCTCCGTCTCTGCTAGAGGCAGTGCCCATCCTTATTCACGTGCTGACGAGCGCCTAAGCTACCATCACGCTCCTCCCGCGGGCGCGGCTCATCCGCATGTCCATCCGTACTATGGCGCCAGTCCCATGCCTGAGGTGAGTCACAACAGCTGTGAAGTCAGGTTGCCATCACAAGGTGGGCTGCTTAACGTCCATTCTGCCATCATCAGGCGGTCGCTAGAGCGTACGAGCGTCTCGTGTCTCAGTCGCCCGCTCCATCGGATCGCATGGGGTATGGTCGCTCGGTGTCTGTTGTCTCATATACCGACGGAGCAGGTGTCGGACAGTCAGCATTCTATGCGGCGCAACATGATGCTCCCCACCGCGCACACGCTCAGTATGAGGTCCGCTCGCATCCTGCATACGCTTTGGCCATGACTCCAAGCAGGGCCCGCACCGCATCAAGCATAGCCCATCATCAGCACCGAGAGCAAGCGAGTGTGCAGCCGGTCTCTACAACTCCCCAACATCGTGGCATGACAAGGCAAGATCTGGCATTCGTCTTAGGCGCTGCGGGGAGAGGAGGTAGCGTCACGCCAGCCATGATCAACTCGCCGGCGGGCTTTTCACGCGCTCCTGCCCAAATTTCCGGAGCGAATCGATTGCTTGCGGTGCAAGTAAGTCCGAAGCG